CTGACTGTAGGTGCCTTGTGACTTGGTAAGGGTACCTATGGGTCATGTTTGACCCAGGAGAAGATTCTTCTAACAAAAGTCCAGGTGTTGGAGTCCCTGAATCCCTGACTGTAGGTGCCTTGTGACTGAATAGAGTATCAATCGGGTCACCTTAGACCCAAGAGAAGTCTGTTTATTCAAGATCATCAAAGTCTCCGTCCATCATCAACGATTTATTCCAATACTTTCCTACTCTTGTTGAACGACTACTAAAAAACGAAGCACCTGAGCTAACAATAAGCGAACCACCACCCTCTCCACACTGTTGGGGGAGTCCCTCCACCTCTGAGGGACCCTCATTCATCGAAAGCATCCGAAGAGAGTAGATACCGTTATTTCTGAAAGCTACTCGTCCAGCCAAGTCTATTCTCTCGTCTGCCAAATCATAGACGACCAAACTTAAACCAAATCTTAAACCAAACAACTACAACCAAAATCAAGGCCTTGAAAGTTGAGAGACTTTGTCCAAACGACTCGACGAGCCTACGAACAGACTTTTCACAAATCTCGAGGGATATAGGCATCCCCTAGCGTTCCAAGGTTCCCTCGATGCGATTTTGGAATTCCTGTCGAAGCTTGGAGCCTGAAACGCCAGAAGCCACGCACGACTCTCTCGCGCTCGCGGTGTATTTCCGTCGGCCTTTCATCGACGCGAATAATCCTCATTGTCGGTGCGGCTGACGCTTCGCCGGAGAATAGAGCTGTAAACATTGTTCACGGACGAATCGTCGCTCGAACGAGGCCGCAACAGTCCGAATCCACGGTCTCGAAATCGGAAAATCCTAGTTCCGAGCGAACGAATCACTGCGAAGTCCTTCGATCTCTATGAATCGGGGGTGACGGAGCTCTGCTCTCGATCCCTCCATCCTCAATTTTTCATTATTAGTTCGTTAAGAGTAAGAGCATCGTAGATAATGAAATTTGAGAATTTTTAGTTGTTGGAGTTTCCAGAATTTCTACCTACATTGTAATGGCACCTTTTAAAGTCCGATTAATTGCCTTGAAGGGTTATAAATAAATATATTACACATACGATTTGTCTGCTTATCAATGGAAAAATAGTTTCGCTGTGATGTATTTAGGTGAAATATTATGTATTATATCTTGCTGTGTTGTACTGTGTAGCGATACGAAGAATAATGCTCTATTTTGCTGTATTATGCTATTTGTTGAGAATATTTATTATTGTTTGTGATGCTGGAATATTCTGTATTTTGCAGTATTATGCTGTATTTAGTTGGGAATGTTTTGTATTATGCTATATCTTGCTGTATTATACTGTGTAGCGATATAAAGAATAATGTTGTGTCTTGCTGCATTACGCTACTATACCGTATATTATGGTCTGTGATGCTTAAATCCTCTGTATTTTGCTTGACTTGCCAAATCAACTTGGACAAATAGTCCACCTGTTTACCCAATTACTCATCGTTACTTAGAGCAACCAAAACACAGTTGTATTTCTATAACTCATTCATTTCGAATTTGACGTACCTTGGCACGGGGATGAAACATTGACAAATATTGGACAATAATATGCCATATACTTGCCGTGCGCTCTTATTATAAATATCATTCGATCAACTATGGAACTAACGGAGAATGATAATTACATCCAGGTTAGGTTGGGTAGTGGGAAGCCACTATGTTCTTCGATTAATTTTTCAATGATTATTGTACTAACAAAGGGATGCTCAGGTAACTTCGCCCTAGGGATTTCCATGCCAATTTTTTTGGTTCTTCTGGATGTGACAAAAAGTAAGCGAGAGTTTAACCCTTTGCACTCTGCACCATCTCGTTGCAAAACATGCGAGCAGGAATCGCATTACATAAAATAGTTTAACTTTGGAAACGTGTCGTTTTTGGTATTATTAGACTCGATTATAAATTCTTCTAGCTGTCTTGATGCAGTAACACCACTACACAAACATAAATTTGTTAAACTTACGATGTCCCCTCACAGGGGACATCCGAGTGCAAAGAGTTAAGTGTAAGTGTAAGTAAAAATTGGATAAAGAAATGCGAATGTCTCGCTTTCTTTCACTCTAGAATCTAAAGCAGTCAACTGTAAAGTAATCAACTGTAAAGCAATCAACTGTAAAGCAGTCAACTGTGGATCCGAGGATCGGATTCGATTCTCCGTATCCTATTTTTCGTTTAGACTCGTACACTATCGACTGTCTATGCGTTTAGTCTGTAATTCGAGCAAACGTTGATGTTCTACGCACGGAAAGTTTTAGCGGCAGTCGAAGTGTTGATGTTAAGGACAATGGGGGTTAGGAAGTACGCCAGATGGTCGAGGGAAGGATCAGAGGCGTTCGTCTAGCATCGAGCAAGTTTCCTGACAACATCGACCGTCAGAACCGACGTCTTGATCACGTGCCAAACAGGTGGTTCCTGGTTGGGGGCGGGGTCGCGAAAAATAGAGAAGAAATCCCCTGCGTAATTGGGTCGGAATGTTTCACACATCACCAATACCTTCGCCGACACCCACGCGACGCGTTCCTCGTGAGACGAATCTTTGCTCGAACATCGAGAATTAAACTCGACTCTCGGAAATAGTGAAATCTCGATTCTGGAATTTACTTCATTCATGCGTTCGTTGGTTTATTTAGCGGCTTTAACTCTGCGTATTGAGAGCAAAGTACGATATTTAAATTCGTTGAAATAACGGGTAAAATTAGTTAAAGATAAGATACGTGTAAAAACAAAGAGTGGTAAAGCAAGGAAGAGTATTTAATTATTTCTATAATGTTTTTGTCGCAACACGCGGATCTCAAATTGTTCATCGAGGCATCGTGCCACTAGAGGCTATCAACCCGTTAATGAGGGGACAAATAAAACCGGGATGATTTTAGACGAGATGCACGATCTCTCGGGAACGCATTCTCGCGATGAATCGCCTTTCCATCGCGATCGAAATACTTCGATAACGCCATCCGCTTTATAAATAGCTGGAAAATGAAAATCTTCTGTGACAGGAGGACGTGATCGCCCACGCGGTTCGAGAATCGCATCGGGACGGTAACATAATACCGAAGCAAGGGGTCCGGAAGAGGCGCGTGACTCTCGATTAAAAATACAACGTTGGAGAAAAATTCGGGTCGACCGAAAAAGAGGAACGACGATAAATTTCGCGGCGATACGCAGTGGAGTGGAATCGACTATTCGAGGGGGGCTCGGTTGTTCAATTTTTCCACATTCGAGTATTGGAAATCTTAGAGGATTTAAATGTAGCTCGAGTAGTTGAGTATCCGAGTGTTACTCAAATACTAGGCAATTAGGATGAATTAGGAAAAATTACTTCGATAGAGTATTATCGGGATTTTGAATATTCGAACTCTATTAAAATTATTGGTCACTCGAACTCTACTCGAACTCTACTCGAATTATTGACCACTCGAATTTTACTCGACGCTATTCGAATCTATGAGTACTAGAGTACTCGAATATTCGAACTCTACTCGAATTATTGACCACTGCAATACTACTCGAATCCAGGGCTACTAGAATACTCGATTATTCAAATTCTAGTTGAATTATTGACAATTCAAATACTACTCAAACTCTACTCGAATCCAGAAGTACTAGAATACTCGAATATTCAAACTCTATTCCAATTATTGGCCACTCGAATTCTACTAAAACTCTACTCGAATCCAGGATTACTAGGATACTCGAATATTTGAACTCCACTCAAACTATCGACCACTCGAATACTACTCGAGTTCAGGACTAATAGAATACTCTGATACTCGAACTCTACTCGAATCCAGGACTACTAGAATACTCGAATATTCAAACTCTACTCGAATGATTGGCCACTCGAATCCTATTCAAACGCTATTCGACTACATGACTATTGGAATACTCGAATATTCGAACTCCACTCAAATTATTGACCACTCGAATACTACTCGAGTTCAGGACTAATAGAATACTCGAACTCTACTCGAATTCAGGAATACTGGAATACTCGAATATTCGAACTCCACTCAAATTATTGACCACTCGAATACTACTCGAGTTCAGGACTAATAGAATACTCGAACTCTACTCGAATTCAGGAATACTAGAACACTCGAATATTTGAACTCTACTCGAACGACTAACCACTCGAATTCTACACAAACACTATTCGAATGTATGACTACTGGAACACTCAAATATTCGAACCCAAATCAAATTATTGACCACTCGAATGGTACTCGAATCCTCGATCAATCGAATCTCACTCAAATCTAACTCGAATCCAACAAGAAGATTTGTATATTAGAATTCAAATCAAAAATTTGTATATTAGAATCTTGTCTTAGAGACTTGTATATTAGAATCCAACTAAAAAAGAGAGAAACTACGCGAACATAGAAAGATGAAGAATGAAAAAAACAATCGTGCTGTTGCCAGTCGGGAAAATTCGGCTCCGCGCCGTTGGACGAGAGGCAACCCTGCCGAAGTGTCGCCTACTCTTGTAAATGTCGAGGCTCGACCGCGATATATACGTATATTATTTGCAGACGGGCATGAGATTGATATTTTTGGAGACCCCACGCGAGCCACACGGCACCAACCGACGCCACGCGCAGCGAGAGTGTTTCGTGCGGCACATCACGGCCGGGATTTTCTCGTCGTCACCGGCGCTGTTTTTTCCACCTCGACGACGGTGAAAGCGTTCCAACAAGCGTTTCCCAACGAATTTGGAGACGATCGTTGGCCAAACGCGACGGGTCGTTCCGATTCGCCCGTTGGTCAACGCCAGGAAAACCGGGCGCGATTATAAAGCATTTTCGGTGGGATGGGAGTTTTGATCGGGGCGCGAATTGCCGCGGATCGCGCGATTCAACGTCGAGATACTTATTTTTCTGCGTCATACATTTTCGTTTCGTTCGCGTCGAAATTCCAAATATTGCGGATCTGTCGGCAGAGACGGTTCAGTAAAGTGATTCAGATTTTAAAGATATCGGAAATCGTCCAGCTGAGCGTGTATTATTAATCGTACTTTGATGATTCGATAAGTTTGAACGCGTTTCTCTCTGTCACGAAAACGTGCTTCGTAAAGAAGAGAAACGAAGGATATTAACGGAGTCTTATTAACGTAACGAGTAATGCTCTGGACTTCTACCAAATTGACCGGGATTCGAATCCCGCCGAGGGCGTAGATATATTTTTTCTGGTTTTTCTAAGGGGTTCGTGGTACTCAATGATATTAAGTAACACTTAATCCCATTCCTTGCATTGCATCTTCGAGTAGGAGTATAATTACACTATTAACACTGTGTGCATGCTATTAACTGATCCAGTGGGTTGAGTACGAGTAGGAGTAACATATCGTGAGTTGTATGTGTTATGGTTTTCGAACCAGAGATGGGATCGAGTGTAATAATTACTCACGAATTCAAGTAGATTCGACTACCCAGATGAAGTCTAGATTGGGGTTTGAATTTATTAATTATAATTCGTAGAAAGTATAAGAAAATTCCTTAACCCTTTAGCCCTTTCTATGACAACGCGTGAGACACGTGATCGAAGGAATTCGAGTCGAACGTGAACAAGTACGAGTCAAGCACGTCGTACAATCGTGCACAAGGAACTTTACTATTAGAATACTCGAATATTCGAATTCTACTCGAATTATTGATCACTCGAATCCAGGACTACTACTCGTTTACTGCACAAATCGATTAACTCCATAAAACAAAAAGTTGAGAAATGCGATCGAAATGACCTCCAAAATAAATTATTTATAATTCAGTGGCCAACAAACTTTTGTCGTTTAACGGTAAACCAAGTACATTGACACTTAAGACATTGGCTGCTAGACTAATACTCTTAAAAATCTCTACTGTGATTAAATTCTATTTACTGACTATTGGAAATTACTTAATTAAACATTTACTGTGGGATTTATTTTTGTAACTTCAAGGCAATTCAATGTTCTTTCAAAATTCACCAAAATGGACTCCGAAATAAATTATTTATAATTCAATGGCCAACAAAATTTTGTCATTAAATGATGCTAATTTTTATTATTCAGAAAAGTGATTATATCAAAATATGCCAGACTAATATAATACCGTCTAATCTAATACTCTTAAAAATTTCTACTGTGATTAAACTTTATGTACTAACTACTGGAAAGTATGTAATTAAATAGTTACTGTGGTATTTATATTCGTAACTTCATCGAAATTCCTTTTCTTCGACATACAACTAGACTGCATATCTTTATATAAAATAAAATCTTCGCGAACGTGGCTATAAAAATTGAACCTAAATAGGAATTCTGCATTTTCACTCTGCAAATATTACAATACGAACTTTACTTTCTATTTTATATTCTATCAATTTTATATTCATGCATATTGTTTGCATTGTGTAAGAATCACTGTCGTCCATATATGACGATGGCGATCAACGTTTTAAATTTCAGACTTTTCAAAAAATTGGAGTTAATCGATTCGTTCAGCGAACAGTCTCAGAGTAAATCATAGAGCAAGGAATTAAAGAGTCTAATCGATCCGAGCACGCTGCTAAAAATTCAACAGAACTCGATCCCATCCCCGGTCAGTTTCCGAGGACTGTGAGCTACAAAATGTGAGTGACAACGAGTACGGCTCGGAAGGAGACGGGAGGATCTTCATTGGCCGACGTGATTACCCAGAAAGCTTTGTTTCGATCGGGATCCGGTATCGTGTACTGTATGGGTCCGGCGTTTCCCGCACTCACATCCTCGGCGTCCCAGTAATCCTGTTCGTCGTCGAACGAGGACACAGACCTGGACCCCTTCCTCTTTTCAGCCTCCTTCGCGTCGATATCAGTGGCCAGTATGTCTCGTATTCTCTCGTAATCGTCCACCTCCGCTTCCTCGAAGCTAGATATTTTCAGCAGCCTGGTCGTATCCTTGAGCGCCTCAACAGAGGCGGTGGCGTTCGTCACAGCGGAGCGATCGCTCGATCCGTTCTCGGCGACCCTGTCCCTGGATCCCGAACCACCGAATCGTCTGTTCTTAAAAACGGACCTCCTGTTGAAACGATCCCGCGACGAAAGGTCTCTCTTGCTCTCCGACAGTCCCACGACGAACCTCTCCGAATCATCCAGCTCCTCGTCGCGCGCCAGTATCTCCTCAAAACTGGTTTGCACTTGAACAGACACGCTCTTGTGGCTCTCGGACCTGGACAACGACGCGGGACTACCCGGAGGCGAAGTATTAGTCCACTCATCCCTGAACGTCGCCCCGGAGATGTCCGACTTCCGCCTCTCCGGCTCGCGGTGTCGCTTGGACTTCCTCGAGGTCAGATTCTCCGCCGACTTGCTCACCTCCGCGTTCTTCGACTTCAGCCTGGTGGGTTTCCTCACGATGGTGCTGGAGGACTTGCCGCCTCTCTTCCTCTGGCTCGGTCCCCGAGGAGGACCCTCTTGGTCCCTTTCAACATCGATAAACTGACTGGATCTCTGTGACCTCGCGGGGTCGGGCGACCTGGAGCGAGACTTTCCGAAAGGTTTCTTGAAGAGATTGTCGCGGTCGTCGGACTCGTCTCTAGAGGACCCGGAAGGGCTCGCGTATCGATCGATCCCGGGAATTGGCTCGAAGGACTTCTTGGTAGGGGCCTCGTTTCCGGAGTCGTTATCGAACGACGTGCCGAGGTCGCTGGACGCCCCGGAGCCCGCGTACTCGTCGTCATCGACATCGATCGGTATCGGCGTTGGTACCCTGAAGTATTTATCCGGCTCGGGGTTCGTCACGGACAGGGGTCGATCTCTCGAGCTGTTCTCGACTCGTTGGGTCTCGGCGTCCTCGTAGGACGTCTCCCTCTCGAATTTTTCGTACTCGAGTTTCTCGTAGTCGTTCTCCAGTTCCAGCCTCCTCGAGTCGGCTTGCTCGTTCTCGCTTTCTCTGACGAGGTACTCGAAATCGGGGCTAAATCTCGAGTCGGGCGTGAGTCTCGATCCCAGAAGGTAGTCTCCCGGGAAGCTGCACTCGGACCCGTAATCGAAGTTCTTGTCTTTCGAGCGCAGCTGGGCTCGGATTCTCAGGCTGTACTCGTGCAGGTTCTCCAGCTTGTGACGGACGCCGCGGGGCAGCTTGGCGTCGCTCGAGTGGCTGTAGCTGCAGATGGAGTCGTGGGTGCTCGCGTTATCGTTCGTCTCGTGATACGAGAGGCACGGGGTGGCGGGTTGGTCGATGGTGATCACCACGCTGTCGGTGACGCGTCGGAGCCACGCGAGCAGCTCCAGCATACCCGCGCACCCTATCAGCACCGACAGCATCAGACCCATAATTACGATTCGTCGACCTATCAAACTGTCATCGAGGATGGAAATCGGCACGGATCACTGGCCACACGTCCACGCGGCGTTCGTCCGGGTCGTCGTCCCGGGTTCATCGATCTTCCTGACGGATTCGAAGGACGAGGAGGATTCGTTGCGGAGGAGCGACAGGGACCAATGCGGGCTCCTCGACGTCGAGGAGAGACGGGAACCCGATCGGAGCGCGGGGACGGTCCATGAAGCGACCTCGAGCAGTCTCTCGCGTCACACGGGGGTGATCCTCTAACGGGCTGACGTCACGGAAAGGAGCTAGCGCGGGCGAGAGACGGTTAACGCGATCCTACGGTGGGCACACCCACCACCCACGCGACGTCCACTTCTCCACGGTTAAGCGACACGTACGCCTCGCCACTGTTTCAGGTCTCGGTTAGAAACATAAATTCGTTAGGGCGGATGTTCTCCTCGCGGCCGAGATATATCCTCCGATCGATGATTATCGGCTTGTCCATGCGCCGGTGAGGATGCCGGATGACTGTTTTATTTTACGCGGGCAAAACCGTTCGAACACCGGGGCAAACTGGTGGCCGTTCGGCTCGTTATGTCGACGTAACGCAGACTTCGACTCGGCCCCGTTGCTCCGCGGCCACCAGGCTAAGGCTAAAGTTAGCCCGAATGTCCCTGGACGCGAATCCCTGTCCTTAATGCATCGTACGCGTCGCCATCGATCACACGACCGCTAATTAACGCCGCTGCTGGCCCGGGTTTCCCAATCGGCGAACCGTTCGCGCGAACGATTATCGACCAGGCAACGATTGACGATCGTTGTCATCGGCTCGCCCTAATGACCCGATATCGTCTAACGTCCGCGGCTACGCGCCGCGCGTTTCGATATTTCTATTCCGCCGAGACGTGAGGCGAGTTTGGCAGCTCTTGTCGCGATCGTTTTCGCGGGAGGAAACGGCTCGTACGCTTGGCAATTCGTTCTTGCCCGCGCGACGATGCACGGATTTTAGGTTAATTGGGGAACCTCGAGACTGGGAAGCTTCGAGGAGGGTTGGAAGGGGGGGAATGTATGCATTTTTTTTACGGGGCCTTGACAATGGTACTGGAAGGTACTTTTGTGTAAGGGTGGACGTAATTGCGAAATGTAGTTGTGAGAGTGATAAGGATAGGAGAGTAGAGAGAAAGGGTGTCGAAAAGTCTGTCTCTGAATGTTGCTATTGAGGAAATCTTCGTGAACGTTTGCAGAGGATGTGTGATATTTATTTTGATAGAGCTGTAGGTTCAGTTTATAATTCCCCACTGAATCAAAGGATTAAATTTTAAGTTAGAGTTAAGCTTTAGAATAAATCCTAAATGCATTTTATTTTTGTATTTATTCTCTACCTGACTATTTAGTATTTATTTATTATAGTATTTATTCCCCAGTGAATGAAAGGGTTGAATTTGAAGTTAGAGTCAAGCTTCAGAATAAATCCCAAATACATTTTAGTATTTATTCTCTACCTAAGTATTTATTCCCTACTGAACGAAAGGATTAAATTTTAACCCGGAGTTGGGCTTCATAATAAATCCTAAATGTATTATTAAAATATATTAAATATAAATGTATTTTACTTCAATGAATTCAATATTAATTACCACCTCAAACCGCCCTTACCCTTCCCCACCCGATAAATCACCATCTTTTTACTCCTGTGAAAAAGCAGCGGTCACCAATCTTGTACCAGCACCCCCCGCAAAGCGCATCTTAACCTGAATTATCGCACGCTGCAACACGGTCTCAATGATTCTAAAGCGTCAGCTTGTGATTTACTTTGGTATTTATTCTCTGCCTGTTCCACTGCTCGAGTTTCAGCTCAGTGCTGTATGAATGGAATACTTTCGTCCGAAATTGAAGATCGACAACAATCTTTCTGACCAGATCCTAAGTGTATAAGGGGTAAATGAAACGAGAGCTCGACTTTCGACGATATACGAGACATGGCGCCGATAGATCGATGCTCGCGTCACGTTCCGCGACGCGAGTTTCGCGATGTTTATCGCGGCCGAATTTTCTGGCGTGGCTCGAACGATTTTATTTCGGGTTACCTCATCGGTTACGAATCAACGAGTCGGACCCGATCTTCGATACGCGCTTTTGCGCGCGGTACGTCGCTCTGGCTGCTTTCCAACGAGATATCGAAACTCCCGGCGTCCAGCTTATCGAACCCTCGATGATCTATATTCGACGGTAGCGTCGCTCGGCTCTTCGAAACGCGATTAAAAACAGCCATTTCTTGAATAGATCGAACGAGATCGAACAAATTAATCGAATCGAATGAATCGAATTAGTAAAATGAAAGGATAAATCTAACGAATGAAATTAGTAATGAATCGAACGATGCTGCGAGAGTAGCTGAAGAAATTCCGTTTGTTATCGAAATCGCGACGAGTGCCCGATCGGTTCAGGGTCGGTTAGCAAATTTATCCTGCATCCGTGTACACGAACATCGTGTTTTCAGTGACCAAAAGTACGATCGTAAAATTCCCATCTAATCCCTTCGTGACTGAATTATTGTTTCCGAACAACTAAACAAGAATCCAAGCGATGCTAATCCAAGCTATTTATCAAGCTTGCGTAGAAGTTGCCAGGTTCTATAATCGGGACATTTAATTATGGATATTTATATCCGTACCTCGTGGGAGCCAATTTGCATAAATTTCAAATTTTAGAAATTAAGTTCTGTAAATAGCTACAAAGTATGTACTATTAATACTAATATGAATAAGTTCGAGGAGCGAGATTCCTTTCGAGAAAATCGTTTCGAGATGGTAGCTTTGAGATCAATCCAAGTTGTAATTCGAAATACTCCGAAAATAACGTTCGAGGGAGTTTCCAAGAGTTTTCGAACGTAAGCGCGCTCTGGAATCCCGTTACTGAATGGAACGAGTTAGAGGAACACGCGATGTTGCGTTTTCGCGAGGAAGGAAGGAAGATCCTCGCGAGTATCCGTGGCTGCGAGCGGAGAGCACGGCTGCGTAATCATCGTCCGGACCACTTGGTCCGCAACACCGGGACGAAAATAAACGTATCGTCGACGACCTATCGGGACGCCGACCGAAATAAATCAACGGCTTGGACCGAGCCTACTCGAATATTCAAGTATCCATATTCGAGTACTCGAGTATCCGAATACCATTTTCTTCGTAACATTTTGTTAGTTCGATATTCCGAGAGCTGACGGAACGCTCGAGTATTTGACCAGTCAAATATTACTTTAACACGTTGATCGCCATGTCAGCCACATGTGGATGACAGTGCTTTCCAGTGAAGAACTAACGAAATTATTTCCGAATGTCAAGCATCAAAGGAAATGAATTTAAACCAAATTCATGAATTTTGATGAAATAACAAGAATAAATACGACGATAAATGTTTGATTATGCAATCTCCGATTGTTTAAATAATATTTCATTTTAGTAGAAACTTTAAAGAATCTTTGTTTGGCAGTCAACGTGTTAATGAATTCAATTAATACCACTTCAAACCGCCCTTTCTCCTCCACCCAGGTTAGCCAACGATCTTTAACCCCACCCTATAGTTCACCATTTTTTTACTCCTGTGAGAAAACGGTCACCCATCTTGTACCGACACACCACGAAACGCATCTTAACCTGAATTATTGGAATATTGGAAATGTTGGAATGGACAAATATTTGGTTATTCAAGTATTTAAATAAGTATTGGGTTATTCAAGTATTCGAACAGGGAAGTATTGAGTTACTCGAGCATTCGAATAGGAGGGGATTGAGTTACTCAAGTATTCGAATAGCTAAGTATTGAATTACTCAAGTATTCGAATAGGTAAGTATTGAATTACTCAAGCATCCGAATATGTAAGTATTGAATTACTCAAGCATCCGAATATGTAAGTATTGAATTACTCGATTATTCGAATAGGTAAGTATTGAATTACTCGATTATTCGAATAGGTAAGTATTGAATT